TAGGAGCCCTCCAACTGGCGTTTATCCTGCTGTCCAGTACACGACCCCTCAATATTGAATTGGCTGGGAGAAATCTCCCGTGGCGCCTGCCAATTCGTATATGAGTGGCCTGACCACTGAACAGAGGCACCGCACCAGAAGGAAATCCCGGACGAGCCCCCAGATTGTTAGGTAAAAAGCAAGTCCTTACTCACCTCTCCAGCACCCGAGAGGTGCTGTCATCTGGGCTTTCTGAGGGGTGCAACCTCATATCACAGAATATCCGGGTTGGAAAGGACCTCAGGAGGTCATCTAGTCAAACCAGCTGCTCAAAGCAGGACCAATCCCAAAACAGATTCTTGCCCCAGATCCCTAAATGGCCCACTCAAGGATTGAACTCACAACCCTGGGTTTAGCATGCCAATGCTCAAGCTTCTGCCTAGAGAGGGGGAGGCATCACCCCAGATGGACCTGATTCAGCCCCACTGTGCAGGAGCTAATCTGTGGCAAGCAGACCCAAATGCTGGGCCTCACATGATTCTGAGCAAGACACATCTGGGCCAAGCCACGTCCCCTCGCTCTGAGGGCCAAGCCACGTCCCCTAGCTCTGAGGCTCCCAAAGCAGGCTTCCGGGGCCAGGCCTGCTGCTGGGCACCTTTCCCGGGGTCATGGGATGCTGCACTCCAGCTGCCCTGGATCAGAGCTCCGACCTCAGCAAACACCTCCCATCACTGTTCAGGGTGTGCCAGGAGCTGCCATGAACCCAGCCTCCCATCTGGAACCAATTCAGGTCACCTGTGTGCAGGACAGAGGAATTGAGACCAGAGCAGATGCAGAGAAGGGCTGTGAGGGTGCTCAAGGGACCAGCAGGTTTGAAGAGAGGAGAGTGAATGTGCTGGGCTGGATTAGCCTAAAAGAGCAGCCTGAGACGGGGTCTGATTAGTCTCTATGTTGCTGGGGTGGAGGGTGGACAGATTGTGGGGACAGGGGGCTGTAGAGTTTGGATGGCCTCCACCTCAGGAGAAGGGGACCAATCTCCATGGGGACCGGCCAGCTAGAGGAGTCAAGGGAGGGATAAACTAATAGGCAAAGGGAAGGGTAAAAAGGGAGAAGAAATGATCTCTCAGCAAAAATCAAGAACAAAATTAATCCAGGAACCCCAATTAAATGAAGAGAAGAAATTCTTGACTTGCCCCTGCACCAGTGCGAGGAGTCTGGGGAACAAACATGAGGAATTGGAATTGCTCCTCTGGGAGCATCAGTTTGGTGTAGCAGGTGTTACTGGAACCTGCTGGGATGATTCCCACGACTGGACGGTTAAAATCCCTGGTTACCAGCTGGTCAGGAAGGATCAAGGGAGTCAAAATGGGGAGGGGACGTGCACTCAGTGTCAAAAATGTGAAGTGTCCTAGGCCCCAGCCTAGCGCATTGACCACAAGCCCAACCTGCCCCTGTAGGGGTTAATTCCCTCCTGGCCCTGGCAGATGCAGCCGCTGCTCTGGATTTCACAGCTCGGGTTGATCGCTCAGTACCTGAAACACTTTTTTTTGTAACTTCATTTTTATTCATTGCTGGCAATGGAGCAGTGAGCGAAATGCAGCAGGCCGCGTGACAGGGTGGGGCAGGGGAGGTGGGAAGGAGGCGATCAGCGCCGGGGATTGATCTGCAATCAGTTCAGTGGAGCCTTCTCTGCGTTCCCTTCCCACTGGCCTCACTGTCATTGGGAACAGGTGTGTTTGGAACGGGCGGTGGCAGCCCAATGAACTACCCCATGGGATAGGCCCAGTGAGGACAGGGCAGGCTGCAGTTTTCACAGGAGTTAGCAGGTCAGGTAACAATGAAGATCCCCAATAAATGATCACTAGATCAGCTGACATGGGGGAGAGCTACAAACCGCCGGGTCTGCCTCAAGGTTTGGCTCATGTCCGTTACCCCAGGGGAAATAAACCAGCTGTTTCCCTAGCTAAGAGGCAGCCTGAGGATCTGCGTTGACAAGGGAGCCGATGGGAGCTGGTCTCGAACCTCGTTCCTAACTCCCCTAGGCCCAGGGCCTTGATGCTCATTGGTTGGGCGTTGCCTGAGTGGAGCAATGCGGGGGTGGGGGGGGCTATCCTGTGGAGAGGGGAGGCTCAGCCAATCTGCAAAGTGGGCCCTACATCTGGGCATCAGCAAAGGACAAAAGCGATGCAGCTCTGGCCCCTGCAGCTATTCCTGGCTTGGCTCAGGGCTGCAGCCTCTTCATCGTCTCCCGTATCCAGAGGATGAAGGTCGAGACTTTCGTGTACACCCCGGGAGGGGTTTTTGGCCCCCAGGAGACGATGCCCTGGGCTGTTTTTCCGCACACTAGGGGGCCCCCAGAATCGCCCTGTGAAATAAAACAAGCCACAGATGGAGAACAGCTCAGTGAGTCATTCCCCCTGATGCACAGCTCAATGACAGCTTCCTATGTCCACCTGGTCTCTGTTCGGCTCCCCCAAGGCCCAGCTGGTATCAGTCCCCTCATCCCCACCCCTACCCCTAGAGCTGGCCTCTGCCTCCCCTGGGAGAAAACCAGATATTTTCCCATTCATTTGCACAGCACCAAGCACAGTGGGGCCAGATCGCTGTCCGCCACTCGTATGCCGGACTGCAACACCAACAGCCTCATTAATAATAACGATTTATCAAAGATGCTTGAAGCCAGGAGGAGAATCACCTTCCAAGAGTCTTTCCCCGTCTTTGGATCCCCCACACACATCATGGTGGACGATTTATACTTGCTGTATTGCCCATTAGGCTTCCTCGAACATGCAGCATCCGGCATCACCACCACGTCCACCTCCCGGAGCGTGTCCGGGGTTGATTCACTCTCTGTGCTAGTGCCTCCCCAGCCGGCGACACTGCACATGGTCCCTGGCTTTACTCTCTCGCTGGCACTGGGCAGGGCGATGGTATCCACCCATCTGTTCAGCTTCGCTCTCTCTGCCAGCTGAGACACAAGAACGATGAAGATCAATGTGAGGGTCGCACTCAAGGACACAGAGACACACCCCAATACCCAGAAACACTCAAACCCATGCCTGAGAGGTCACTGGGGATCGGAGGATGGGATAGGGGCGGTACTTGAAGCTGTGTGAAGTCACTGGGGGTGGGGTGATGGAATGGGAGGGTACCTGCAGCAGCATGATGTCATTGTTGAAGGCTGTCTTGTTGTACTGCGGGTGCGGGATCCGGTGGCGCAAAGAGATTTTCTGTTGGCTCTGTTCCTGTTCATTAATGTTATGGGCTCCCAGCTGGACAGATATCTCACTGTGAAAGCCAAGAGCAATACATGGGGCATTAGGGGCAGGAGCATATGTGAGATAGGGGAGGGGCACATGGGGGTTTGACTTATGAGCAGTGATATGGGGAGGACAGGGTTCTTCTGGGCCGGGAAATAGCACAGGGGACTTTTCCCCTCTAGGAGGCCCTGGCTGCAGCACAGAGACTTGCCCAGTGGCATTGGGGTCCCAGCCTGTGTCTCTACCAGCCCTTTGTGTTGTTCCTCTGAGCTCCTTCACGCCCCGCAGTTCTCCTGCCCTCTGGGTCTCAGCTCCTCCCCACCCCCGGCTAGATCCAGACAGGGGTCTAAGCCAGCTCCTCCCAGCCCAGAGCCCAACAGAGCTGTCCTGGGGCTGTGACTATCTCCCTGCCCCGATCAGGTCAAAGGGCCAGACCCCAGCTGGTGTTGATGGCTGTAGCTCCATTGATTTACCCAGCGCTTGATCTGGACCATGGTTTGCAGAGGCCCCTAAAGACACACTGACACCCCCGACCAGATCATATCCCTGGGCTGTGCTCTCTCAGCCTGTAGCTCCTTCTCTGGAGCCTATGACGGCACCAGGGCTCCCGGCTCCCCCATCACCCACTATCCCCGACCTTCCCCAACATCCCCAGCACAGAGGCGCTTACTCTCCATTGCAGTGAGCGGCCGTCAGCACGAAGTTCTTTGCCACCAGGAACCCTCCGCAGATAA